GGTGCGGAGCCGCAAAAGCGGCCATGTAGGCGCAGATGCGAGAATTGGGGAGGAAGCTTGGGAGCGCAGGTGCGGCAAAAACCCGTAGAAGCAGATGCGCTTCTACGCAAGAAGGTCCACAAAAGCAGAAACGAGCAGTATGGGGTGGAGCCCCAGAAGCAGAAGAGCTCCATAGGTACGGAAGCGCAGGAGCGATGGTGAGATCCCGGAAGCGGTCCCGTAGATGCGAGGAAGGGACCGCAGGTGCGTTAGGTTGGGGGGTTAAGTGAGTTTCGCAGATGCGGAACTTTGACCACAGAAGCGGTTCTGCAGAAGCGACTAATCTGACCGCAGATGCGAGATTCCTGGACAAAAGATAAAATCAGGGGGTTTTGATGATTCTCTTATTTTTTGGACTTTGCAAACTCGGCTAGTGGCGATTTTTCAGAGGGGTTTCACTAGATTTTAAGAGATAAGTGACTTTTGATCATTATTATTCATTAATATTGTATAACCATTGAATTTCCTACCTAGATTATGTGTCTTAAGGTGAGTTTTGGAAAATTTTGGATTAGGGATTGGAGAGTGAGATTTGGAGGTTTGATGGTCGATTTGTGGTGTGAATTGGATGATTTTGGTATGGTTGGACTCGTTATTGAATGGGTGTTCGGATTTCGTAAATTTTGTCGCGTTCCGAGGCGTGGGCCCAGGGTTGACTTTTGGGTTGACTTTTGATTTTTGGTTAAAGATATTAGCTTTATCATTTGGAATCAATTCCTATAGCTTTTATTGATAGTATTACGATATTTTTGGCTAGATTCGAGCCTCCCGGAGATTAATACACGTGCAAAGGGCTTGCTAGCGGAGAGATTTGATTTACTTGAGGTAAGTATCTTATCTAAACTCGGGTGAGGCACTAGTTACTTGTATTATTGTGATAGCTACGTGCTATTGGGTGCGCACATGCATGGGGTTGAACCCATGTGCTGACATCGGGGTTATTTATTCATGCTCGGATTGTGCCCAGGCTATTTTTAGCCTAGAATTGACGGTTAAACCTTAAGCTATGATGCTTCGCACTTTTGTGACATTTTTGTAAACTATTTGAGCCATGTTTGAGGCTACATAAGGGTTTAATCCCCAAATAAACTGATAAATGTTATTCGCTAATGAAGTTACCGGTTTGAGTTATGATAGTACACCTTGCACATGCCTACACTTTAGCATGTCGTTTATACCATTCCAGGAGCATGAGATTTGTTATTCATTCATTACATACGTGTATACTTGTTTATTTGCTCTTCTATGATGTGACTGGACTGGGTGTCTGTGACCACGTCGGGCGGAATGGGTTGTTGTGCCTGTAACCATGCCGGGCGAATTGTGTTGTTGTACCTGTGACCACACCGGGCGAATTGTGTTGTTGTGCCTGTGACCATGCCGGGGTGGTAGCATGTTGAATTGGCTGTGCTTGCGTGTGGATGTGGATCCATACCCTAGGATCACCCTCTCATGTTTCTCTCTCGATGGTGTACACGCGGTTACTCAGAAAACTGTAAGTGGTTTGGTACGTATATGGAAAAGTTGAGGAAATCTGGCCAGTGTTTAGTTGGATTTTGCATTTTATCTTTACTTGTAATTTCCTTAATCATTTATCTGATTTAGCTGCATATCATCTCTATATGCAAAGATATTGATCGAGCAGGGTATTTGATAAACTGTACACACACAGTTTTTTCTTACTAAACTTTATAATTTGGTTCCAATATTGTTCTGTACCGATTTAAATAGTAAAATTATGCAGGTGATAGCTAGTATCATTTAATAATTTGTGCTTCTCTTACCTCGCCATGTTTATTTACGATACTTATTGAGTAGATTGGGTCGGTTGTACTCATACTACACTCTGTACTTAATTGTGTAGATCCAGGTGTGGGGACCAGTTATCAGCAGTAGGCTTGCGTGTTGGACTATCTGCTAGAGGCGAGGTAGAGCTGCATCCTTGGTCGCAGTTTGATTTGTCTTTTCCTTTCATAATGTTGTTACAGTTCAGACAATGTATTTATTGTTCAGTTTCAGACTTGTATTTTGTTGTAGAAGCTCATGACTCTGTATTTACCAGATTTTGGGGGATTTACTTTGTGTTAGCAGTTATATTGTATTGAGACCTTAGACTTATGCTATTTTTATAAATTTCGTTATTCTGTTTGCCTTCGTTATCATGTTTCGACTTGCCTACCCGGTGTGTTAGGCACCATCACGACGGATAGGAATTTTGAGTCGTGACATCCATCCATTTATTAAGGCAAAAATCATCTTGCTGAGAAAGCAACTCAAAGGAATATTCAAAGGGATCCAGATTTGCTATTAGCAAAAGTCAAAATCAAAGGTACTATAAATAGGAGCAGCTCGGGAAGAAGAAATGCACCAGCTTCGCAGACAATTTTTCTACTCTTTCTACACCTTAGTTAAGCACTGTATTCTTAATTTTACAAGTGTCATAAGAGATAGAGAGAAAGGGAAAAATACTGAGAGGTTGTGTCATTGTTCATTTTCTCGGTGAGCTAGTGGAAACCAAAGTGCCGTTGTTGGTGAGCGAGTGAAAACCAACCTTGTACGTTGTTGGTGAGTGTGTCAAAACCAACCCTTGTTCGTTGTTGGTGAGCGAGTGAAAACCAACCTTGTAAACGTTGGTGTTGAACGCTAGAAGCCACAAAACTTGTACTCAACAACCCATTTTACAAAGAACTTTAAAAGATAACACTCTTGCAACCCAAGAGGACTGGATTAGGATACCACATTGATTCCAAACCAATATAAAAATTCCTGGTGTCATTTACTTTATCGCTCTCATATAATTATTTTTAGCCCTTTACTCTTTGTAGTGATTTACATGTTTAAATCGAAAAGACTAACAGTTTTGTGTAGGTTGTCTCCGTATTAGCTGACTAAGTCTAAACTATAGTCGGCTAAATTTGTAACAGGCGTACAATTCACCCCCTCTTGTACTTTCATATTAAGGCACACGAATAACTTAATGATACCAGGCGTTGTATGTCATTGATCCACGAGTCAATTATCAATGTGATACATCCATTAAATGGGACTCAATCTATCCAAACTTAATCCAATCCCATTAAAGATGACCCGAATTTAGCAACTCTTAGTTATAGATAGATGGGACTGCAAAACTACAAGGGATTCGACAGGAGGCTCGGGTGCAACAATATCCAATATTAATATGTGTTTCTCAACCACACAAAAAAATAAATATTAATTATATACCACACTTTGATGGTTGAGCGACTAAGGGTGAGAAGGATGATATCGTGATCTGAATATGCTAATCACAGTGTTTATTTAGGGATATAACAAAAATTGTAAAATGATAAATTTAAGTTACAATAACTTTAGTAGTAAAGGTCGCGTTGGATATTTTGCTTAATTAGTCGTACTTAGATACCATTCCAACTTCAGTTAAGCATAACTTTATCATGGTATCACCATGTTCCCCATGCACGTAATCTTAAAAAGAAGATTCAGAGTTTCTTTAAAGAAAATCATATATTCGAAACCACGAATGTTATCACCATCTAAGTTGATAAAATGACGAAGTTGCGATTGGTCAAAATTAAACAGACAAATTGCTTACCTTAATCTTGAATATAGAAAATAATTCCTTTTTTACTGTTGAAATCTCATCACTTTGACCAACAAGAGTTGTGGTATTGTGGTATTGCGGTAAGTATTCATTTATATATCCTTAACCAGAGGTTCTGGTTTTGAGCCTAAATATGAAGTGAAGCGTATTACCCCCTTAATATAGGACTTTCGGTGTGAATCTAGATTTAGCCGGACTCCAAAGCAAGTATTTGGTATCGGAAACTAAAAAAATAGCATCTCCCTGTGTGTTCAGCTTGACCTTTATTCTTTCCTATAGATGGATTCTTGATTAGTCCTACGAACTTTGAATGAGTCAAAAGTGAATAATCATAAAGTGATTCACTCTTTATCGCACAGTGATTTCACTAAAAAGGAACAGTTTTTACGTTGCAAAACAATATATTCATCGGACTACCTTATTTTGCACAAGATTATAGGCATTTATTTTCTTTATCCCATTTGTTTTGTTTATTGTTTTTGTCACTTTGTATGGGTAATGCAAGGTTTTCTTCCCTGCCCTTTTGCTATTAGTTACATTATACATCATGTCCCTTTATAATTTTGAAATTAAAAAAATGACCTTTTTTAACCTCTTACGTTTAAAAATATAGATTTCTTACAGAAATTGAAACTAAAGGACAAATATATCTCACTAATTATTTCAATTATCCACTTCATTAATTGTTTCAAATTATCTGATTATCTCATCTTTATCTTATCATATTTCTTTTAGACTTATTCGACGAATAAATTAAAGTTCGCTTATTCCTTCATATGTCAAAAACTAAATAATAAATATACGTCTGAACTTACTGTTTGGGCATTTCACATTCTCAAGAAAGATACCATTACAGTTCAGCTCCTATCAAATATCAAGAAATGTAGAAATCAAAATCAAATGCAAAACTCAAATGCTCCATTTTTGGTTTTCCAATAAAAGATTGAAATAAAAAGTTTTGATAACAAAACCTAACATGTTGTTTATGATGATTGATAAGCTTAAACTAAACAAACAAGAACAAACCCAGTGGGGTCTGGGGAACGCAATGTGTACGCAGATCTTACCTAACCCTTGGGAGGTAGAGAGACTGTTTCCAATTGACCCTCGGCTCAGAAGAATTGATAAGCTTAAACTGAACAATAAATTATGGGAAATTAAAGAAGAAAAAAGAACTTCTGATGAAACAAAAGATGAAGAATTTTGATAATGAACATCAAGAAACTAAGATAAATTTCTGATATAGAACATTTTCCCCCTTTAATAGGCCTTACACGGCACAAATTCAAATTAGTCGAGCCTAAAGCAGGTACCGAACACCGGGTGTAAAATCCCAAAAATAAGTTTACAAACCTTAACCTTACTTTCTCTTCATTTTTGAGTCTTCTGCACCAAGAAGCTCCTCTAGAACACTATTATCAAGACACTCAAGCTCAATAATTTCTTTAGCTTTCCCAGTTGATGATGATGAATTTCCATTCTCTAAACTTCCTCTTGGATTTGAAGCAACATTTGTTGGTGAAGAAAATGAGTTACGATAATATAAAGGAGGATATTGAAGCTGATTATAATACTCATTAGGGAAATTCAAAGTAGCAAGATGTCCTCTTAGGTTAAATGCAGCCCTATCGTAAGCCCTAGCTGCCTCCTCCGCCGTGTCGAACGTCCCGAGCCACTGCCGGGAGCTCGGCCTCGCCGGATCACGTATCTCCGCCGCGAATTTCCCCCACGGCCGCCTTCGAACGCCGCGGTATTTCACTTCCTCCTTCCCTTTGTTGTTGCTACCTTCCTTCTCTTGCATGGCCTTTTTCCCTCTTGAAGAATTTCCCTCCATGTTTATTATATGTGGAGTTATTTTTTCAATTTGACGTTATAAGGACTTAGGAATATTGGTTTATATAGCCTCAATAGGATGGTTAGATATAAGATTATATTGTAGGACATTTTTTATTCTCGCAACTTTTATGAGAAGTAAGCTTTTAGTAATTAAGTAATTAATTGGTGCAATTTCTAGTGTAATAAATAACTTTACGTGAATTATATGCATTGACATTATCTTTTTTGTTTAAACCCGCGATAACAGATTTGTTAGCATTTCTATCAGGTTACGGATTAATGTGTATTATAGAGATTTACTTGTAATTACATTATTAGCGACATAAATATGTAAATAATTTGTACGCTCTTAATATATAGAATTTAAACTCATAATAATTTACCAAGTTTCTTCAAAAGTTATTCAATTGTTTGGGAAGATCTGAGCTGTGATATTCAAGAGATATATCTTAAAAACTTGTAAAAGGTTTTATCCATATACTACTAGTATTTTTGATTGGATTGTTTTATTCGAAATAGATTTGATCTAAAAAGTAATAGTGACAAAATTTTAATATGGGATGCCGTTAGAAAGCTCCAAAATTCAGAAATATCGAAGTGGTTGTATGACATACTTTTAAATACTTATCCGTAATTAATGTGTTCTCATTTTAATTTATGAATCATTTTAAATTATATTGATGGTGTCATCCTCGTTTTTTTGTGATAATATTTTTATAATTTATAGATCACCTCAAGGAAACATATAATTAACTAAATGAACTTAGATAAGATTCCTTAATCTTAGAAGATCTTACTCTGGGAAGATTTGCCTTAATCAGTGTTGTTTAAACCTTTTGGTGAAAATCAAATTTATATTATAATTGAATCTGCACTATGTATTCCTTAGATGAGTAAAAGTCCCACATATAACATATTTATCAAATATCAATGTTAACTCCGATAAATTAGAGAAAAAATTATATGAAAAGATCATTTACTGTATAGTTCAAATAAATGAATTTGGGATGTTTGATTAAATATAAGAAATTAAATGGAATTCATAACTGTCTCAATATTATTTTTTTCATTCAGAATTTTTAGGAGCTAATTATAAAACCATTCTAATGTCCCCTTTTGCCATTCACACTAAGCCAATAGTTAAGATAAACGCGAAAACAGATACACCCAATATGTTGGAAGAAATCCAAATTAAATTATTAGTTTTGAAGTATTATTATGTTTGCTAATCTTTTTTAATTTGACATGAGTGCAAATTTTGTATAAATATATAATTCTGAAAATATTAATTGAATTATAACCAAAGAAGTGAATGCGACTGTATTTATTATACAGTGTGAATCTGCTCATAGACAATTAGGAGCCACAAATGCATAATCTAGTGTTTTTTAAGCTTTATTTAAAAGTGGAAGGGTCACATCGTTCAAGAAAACAGTTCTATTTGGTTTTATTCACCAGTTCAAGAAAATGTACGAGGCACAAATTACTTTCTTAAAAATAATTGATACTGAAAATTTCGAACAAATAGATATGGAAAAGTTTTCCAAGTATGGAAATCATGAGAATATATTTGTACAGGTAATATATATTTTATTCTTTTCCTGCCCTATTTTTGTTTCTTTTTTCTAGAAGGAAAAGGGCAAAGGATGGTTATCACTCTCTTTATTCTTAGTAGGCGTTTGGACCTAAAAATTATAATTTTTGAAGGAAAAAAGTATAAATAGTATTTGAAATTTGAAATTTGAAATTATATTTGAACATACATTTCACTTGAAAAAGTTGCAGTTTTGTGAGTAGGCAAAAAGAATTATGAAAATTTTGAAAAAGTGATCTTTTGAAAAACTCATTTGTCGAAAAGCTTTCAAGAACTTCCAAAATTTATGGACAAACACATTTTTGAAATTTTATTTTGGGAAAATAGAAAAAAATTATGGACAAGCAAGGCCTTAGATTTGGTTCTCTGTTAGAGTTTGTAACCATATTATCTGTTGAAGAAAGGAATGGTCATGTGCCGGTCACGTGAGAGTAGATTAAGTCGGTTAAGAAGGCAATTAGTTAGTTATAACTAATTATAGGATTGATTAGTGTAGTTGATGAAATAGCTGTAGATTAGGTACTAATTGTAGAGTGTATATATACATGATTAGCTCATTGTACTCTTCAGATTTTATCATAATACAATTCAAATTTCTCTCACCCCCTCCGGGGTAGGGGTAAGGTCTGCGTACACATTACCCTCCCCAGACCCCACCGGGTAGGATTCTACTAGGTTATTGTTGTTGTTGTTGAATTCAAATTTCTCTCAAATGGAGAACAATCTCTAGAACCTTCTTGTTCATTTCATCATCTTCATCCTCACTGAAACTCTCTCAAATCTTCATTATGATATCAGAGCAGGGATGATAGATTCCTATTCGCTGCAATTATCATTCCTCGTTTCCTTCGACAAAGTTTTTTGTTGTAGATCGATTGTGATTTTCACGGTCGGTTAAGCTAGGATTTACCAATTTTAGCAATTTGTGACTGGAGATTCTATTAATTGTGAATTCAGAACTTAGATCACTTGAATTGATAACTATGGCGATTGGAGAAGAAGTTTTAGCTGGAACCAGCACAGGAACAATTTGCGACTGGAGATTCTTTTCCTGCCCTATTTTTGTTTCTTTTTTCTAGAAGGAAAAGGGCAAAGGATGGTTATCACTCTCTTTATCCATAGTAGCCATTTGGACGTAAAAACTATAATTTTTGAAGGAAAAAAATATAAATGGTATTTGAAATTATATTTGGACATGCATTTCACTTGAAAAAATATTGCAATTTTGTGAGTAGGGAAAAAGAATTGTGAAACTTTGAAAAAGTGATCTTTTGAAAAACTCATTTGTCGAAAAGTTTTTAAGAACTTGCAAAATTTATGGACAAACACATTTTTGAAATTTTATTTTGGGAAGAAGGAAAAAAATTATGGACAAACGGAGCCTTAGATTTGGTTCTCTGTTAAAGTTTGTAACCATATTATCTGTTGAAGAAAGGAATGGTCATGTGCCATTCACGTGAGAGTAGATTAAGTCGGTTAAGAAGGCAATTAGTTAGTTATAACTAATTATATGATTGGTTAGTGTAGTTGATGAAATAGATGTAGATTAGGTACTAATTGTAGAGTGTATATATATAGGATTAGCTCATTGTACTCTTCACATTTTATCATAATACAATTCACATTTCTCTCAAATGGAGAACAATCTCTAGAACCTTCTTATTCATTTCATCATCTTTATCCTCACTGTAACTCTCTCAAATCTTCATTATTATCCAAAAGTGTTCGTAAAATTATGTGGCGCTGAGATTCAAATTCAGGAATTTTTGTCTATTTTGCTATCATGTTGAGGTACATATTTCTCCTATCTAACCGCTTAGACTTTTGAAAACAATATTTATATTTATTCCATCTAGCACTTTCGACTACTTCATCTAGGATGTTTATACTCATTTTTGGTTAATCATCACTTATGGGTCAAAATAGAAGAATAAAAGTGTTCATCAGTGTACGGAAAATGAAAGGACAAATCTCTCAAGAAGGATCTAAAATCAAAATCTAAAGCAAACCTCAAAAGAAATGCTCCATTTATTTAGCTTCAAGAGATAAAAATATTAATTAAACAGTTTTGGTACCAACAATCTAACATTTGGATGATGATTGATGACCCCAAACTGAAGAATACATTATTATAATAATAATGATTATGTCTCCATCCCAAACAAGTCGGAATTTGCATTATATATTACGAAAAAATAATTTTCTTCTGAAATAGAAGAAGAATATACTATTTGAAAATGAAAATAAAAGAAACTGAGATATGATTAAAGTTTACTAAACTTAACCTTGGATTTTTTTCATCTTTGAATTTTCTACACCAAGAAGCTCCTCCAAAACACTGTTGTCAAGACACTCAAGCTCAATAATTACTCTTTCTTCCTTCTCTAATTTTCCTCTTGGATTTGAGTTAACATTTGTTGGTGCAAAAAATGACTGAGGATAATATAAAGGAGGAGAATAATATGGTAACATATTATTATAATAATCATTAGGGAAAATCGAAGTAGGAAAATGACCATTTAGGTTAAGTACCCTATCTAAAGCCTTCGCTTCTTTGGTTTTTTGCATGGCCAACTTTCCTTTAGAAGAATTTCCCTCCATGTTTGTATGTAGAGTTATTTTTTTTTATTTGATTATCATAAAAACATATGAATATCTGTTTATATAGACCTCTAGCCTCTAGGGGACAGTGACACGTAAGATTGTAGTAGGATATTTTGTTGTTTTTCCTCCAATTTTTATGGAAAGTAAGTTTTTGGTAGGTTGTTTAAAAGTAATATTGTGGGTAATAAATAAATTACCTTTGCATGTAAGTTTCTTAAAAGTAATAATGAAGTTCGAAGATGCAGATCTAAGATGTGACATTGAAGATATATTCAAATTTGTTTTATTGGAGATAGATTTGATGAAAAAACTAATATTGATATTAAATTATAGGCAGAATAGCCTAGTAGACACCTATATTTTTTCAGCTTTGTCATCCCAGTCCCTATATTTCACGAAGTTTCATTCAAACACTTGTGCTTGATCAAAATGAATATTATAAACCCCTCTGACCGTTGAAACAAGCTTATTTGGCCTTTGTTTATCTGACTAGGATGGAATGCGTGGTATGCACGCGTAAAGAGAGCGTGAATCTATATTTTTATTTCTTTTTAAAAGGAAAAATTCAAATATAATAATTAAAAAAACAGAGAAACAATAAAAATAAAAGAGAAAACACCCCCTCCTCCCATCTTCAAAACCTTTACCTAACCCATCACCCCCATCTGTTGTCTTCTACCCCGTATCCTTCATCCACAAGACCACCCACCACCATCACTCCCTTCTTCCTTTCTCCTGTTCTTCCCACTCTTTACCCTTTTTTATTCCAAGAACTTCAAAATCTCTCTCCTAAACCCTTC